TTTTTTTTTTCTTCCTTTGCCAAGACTGAAAGCATTCTTCATTTATCAGGACCCTTTTATTTTGCTTTTGCAAATGGCTTTAGTCACAAAGAGAATCCAAATAGATTCAGGCAGCTACTGTGAGGAACACAGCTTCCAGGTGACAGAATGAAAAGGTGCAGAAAAGTAATTTAAGCTCCCACACATCACATTTGGTTTCCACATTTCATAAAGGCAGTGCTAGGTAAGAGAGCTTTGGCTGTATCACACGCAAGCTGTAAGAACCATTTAGTTCATAGTTTGGAAGCACATTTCTGGCCTTGCTTAGGCAACTTTTCTCCTGTCTTCACGCCTTTCTTAGTATCTGGCTTGTTAAACTTGTGGATCATTATTATTTCAGCAATATTCCTGATTTGTTTTTGAGACCGACGAGCTTGATTCTGATAAAAATCACAGACCACATTTGTGTTGAACTCTCAGGTATGTAGTTTATGGAACACAGCAGCAGAGGCACGTAGGGCTCTGAACACAAAACAAACGAAAGCACAGACGACAGATGGCAAGGGCATATGTAGTTCGCTACAAATAGCTTTGGGCTTAAGCAAAACATTGCTCAAGCAATAGCGTCAGCCTTTCAAAATAATACTTTTTAAAAAGTCAGAATTTCTGAGGAACTGGAGCACCATGAGCATCCATAGTCTTGTATGTCCAAGAACTTTGATGGGCCAGACTGGAGTGAGAGACCCAGCTGGTGAATGGTAGAGAACAAGCGCTTTGTGCAACTCCAGCAGCATCTAAGTGGTAGGAAACCTTTTCTTCAGACCTCTTTCTTCTACAAGGTGAGCACCAAGGGTGAAATTCTTCCCTGTACAAAGCCCCTGCACCTCTTCCGCCTTATCTTGAGAACTGAAGCGATACAAAGACTTTGTGCTTGGCTTGCTACAAGAGTTCTCTCTCGCAAAGGAGCCTGGGACAGGCCCCGTGCGCTGACATGAATCACACTCCAGCTACACAAGCAGCCTAGTCCTGGCAGGCTACCGTGGGCTGCGCGCTCAAGTCCTATTTGAGAGGCCCCCAAAGATCAGCTGTCCCGCAGGCCTTTCACTCTAGACCTCACTGTGCAGAGAGGCAGTTCCACAGCTTGTCTTCTCTTCCTTTCCATTCAGTTTAAGAAAGAACCCCTCTTTCATTCTGCAGAAGAAAGCAGTCTCATTCACAGGGAAAAAAATTCATAAATAAAACCAGTGTTGGCATTGCAAAGCAATTATACCTGCCTTTTTATGTATGACAGTTTCATATCATTTATTTTTAAAAAATATATTTTTTAGGTTTTTTCATTGTAATATTATTGTACAGTTTTGCATGGCATAGATGTAATCACTTTTTTGTTTTAGAGTATAAAAGCTGACAAGCGTGCGGTGTGGGGGAAAGACTGCTTTTTGCCTCTTCTCACTATTTGATTGTTTTATGCCCTCAATGTTGTAGAGGACATTGTAAGAGATTCTCTGCTACAGAACAATGATGTAGATTCTTTTGCACAGAAATATTTAAGGTGGAAAGTCAACAATGTAATAAATGACTTGCCACCAATATTTTACGTTGGTAACACACTTAATATTAACCTACTTTGATGTATTGCAATAAAACAGGGAACTGTTAGAAACATGGATGTTTTTGTCTTTTATCCCCCCCCTCCACCCCCCCCACCCCCCGCTATGGTTTGTTTGTTTTTGTCCAAGGGGAGGTGGAGGGAAAGGGAATAGAAAGTGGGAGGACAAGGGAAAACAAGAATGTAAACCTATCTACGCTAGTCCATTGCTAAGCGACAGATATGCATACATCCAGCATCAACAGTGCTGTCAGCCTCCTGTAGGCATTTACAGAAGACCATCGGCACCAGTTACCTTCTGTTGTGCTTTTGCTATCTTCCACTTCACTATACAGAAGTGCATCAACCAGAGTTTTTCCTGAACCTTTTAATTAGCTCAATCTTTCCCAATCTAGTGCACCTCCTCATTTCCATCAGCAGTCAGTCATACCATCCTTCTTCTGAAGGCTGACTCTTAAGTGAACGAGTGCCCAAGACTGCTATAATCAGCTCCTCCTCCTCCCTTTTCTCAACTTTTTAACACCTCATCTTTAAGCAAAATGAACCCTTTGCCTTTTCAAAGAGGTCCCGGCGGCCTTTTGCCTCATGAGTGATGAGGATTCTACTGCCTTTGACTTGTGGGCACAGAGCTGCTTTTGCACCTTTCAAGATCTTCATTTCCAACAAAACTTCAAATTCTGCATGGACCTCCAGAGATGCTGAACCCCTGTCCCCATGAAAGTGGACAGCATTCTGCCCTTAGACACCTTCTTTACCATTGGTCACCCTGTCCTTTGGGCAGCTCCCACATCTTTACCAAAAACCTGTTGGCTGTGGTCACCAGTAGTAGGAACAGGACATCTGTCTTGCCAATATCCTCAAGTTGGACATGTTACTAGCGAAGACCCAAGGTGGCTTAATCACCATCATGTTATCTTTCTCCTGGATGCCTCATGTAGGAACCACCTGTTAAGCAGGGTTCTCAATATGCAGACAGTCAATGCCTACATCTCTCCAGGCAGACCTGTTATCTTCCATATCCCTAGCTAGAGATATCCTAATCCTAGAACCTGTCCCCCTTGGGCCACTTCATGCCCTGCTTCATCTGTGTCCTCTGTAGGCCTTTTTTCCCCTCACACCCTAACTTACTGGCCACAAATTCATGCTTTATTTTTAATCTCCTCCCAACCTCACCTGCATCACCACAGCTGGAAGGGTCCTGAGCTAGGGGGCCTTGGGAAAGCAGACATTGAGTACCACTGCGGTTGGCTTCAGAGTGTCTGTGCCCCGTCAGCACTGTTTTACAGCAGCTTGCAATACTGACTGGCTGACATATATGACCAACATTTCCAGTAAGGAGTGGGTCTGCACCTCCATTCCAATCCCTGCCAACTCTTACCTTTAAAAGGGAAAAAGCAGTTTTCAACCTTCATGCTTGCAGCATATGAACAGAAAAGCAACTTCCTTGCTGAGGGTTCCTCGAGGATTTATCCAGAGAGTGTAGACTATATACTTAAGAGCATTCATGTTTGCCCTGTTCCCACAGTGAGAGTACATGCAGGGGATGGACTGTGGTGAGAAACAAAAATGTATATTTTTTGCTCCATGTAAAATGTTTGGACCTGTGGTCAGTGCACTGGATCATTCCTGGAATAGGTCACGTAACAGTACCATTACAAGGTGCATGAAAACCCTTAAAGCCCTTTCCAGACCACTGTGCTACAAAAGCCTTCACAAAATCTCTATAGGACTATGAATTCTTATAGGCCAGGAGGCCTAAAGGCGCTCTTATCTAAGACTGTGCCACACGATGTTTCACTGGAATTCACCCTTAAGAAATCTATGCAAACAAACCCAGTGCTCTGCTGATCTTGTCCAAAGCATTAGGTAACCCAGAGAGCTGTACTCACTGCAAATGCCTCTGGTATTACATGCAACAGAAGACAGGTGAAGCCCAACTAGAAAAACTAGCACAACCAAACACGCTCCACCCCTTGTACCTGCTGCCCCATCACTGAGTGATTTGAATGCACTGGGGCTTGGAAGCCTTGCTCTCATCCTTCAAAGCTCTTCTCTACAAGTTCAGCTGGTCCCATTCCCTTGTCAGCTTTTTATACTTCACTTGGGTTTTTTGTTTGTTTGTTTTGAGTTGGGTTTGTTGTTGTTTTTTTTAAGGCTAACCTCTCAAACCATTTCACTGCAATAGGACAGGTGCCACAATCTCCATGACCCTTCTAGTTAGTTCCTGAAGGTGGGCTTCCCTCCCACACATGCTTGGCACTTCAGTGACTGGATGCATAGCCCTCCACAGTGAGGTCCTGGAAGTACGTGGATCAAATCAGTCAATCACTTTGGCATTAGGGGTACAGGGAAAATTTTCCCCTCTACACAGTGGGCGGCCACCTTCAAGGTTAAAAGCAAGCAAATACAGCACTGCCTGCTAGAGCCAGAATAAAAGCCACCCCGCCTCCGCTTTGTGTGCGTGTCAGTGTGGGCTTCAGCCTGTGCACAAGATAACTGGACTGGACAGTAGAAAATAGGATCAATAGTAAGATGCTGACTTTCCTAATGTGCCTTGCTGGAGTTCAGGTGAAGTAGTTTTCAGGTTTTGCTCATGTACTTGAATAAAGGGAAAGGCAGACAAATGAAGGGGATGTTTATTTCTGCACACACTTATACAGGCTGCAGGGAAAGGTCCACTTTGTGCCCCCCACCCCAGGTTCACAGAAAGGTAGGACATGTTCAGCACCAAGGAACTGGGCCTACTGCATCTATGCACTCACCAGGTCTCTGCTCATCACCTCTAAACTACTAGCAGAGCCCTTAACTGTCATGTGCACCAGAAGTCCAACATAGGCATTCAGATCCTTTTCCATTCTGGGGCTCACCAGCCAGCTCAGCTCTAAGTTTTGATCAGGAGCAGAACTGCATCTGCTCTACCTCCAGGTCAAGTGGCTCTGCCCTGCACCTAAGCATTATTGCAGGGGGGACTTTTCTCTTTAGATTATATGTTATATTATACACATACACACGTGTGTTTACATGTACAACATGAGAAAGAGTGGAGAGGCGGAGGGGGGAAGAGACAGCAGGGGAGAAAATACTTCCCTCAAAAGCTGGTAATAAAGGAGATTAATTTAAAAAACACCGTTTACCAGGCTAACAGTTCTCTTGTTCATAGTGGACTTATCGCCATCCCCACTGTGACCAGTGGCATAACTGGAATGGAAAGATTAAGAAACAAGTATGTTATGGAGACAAATGTGCACTGGCACAGGTGGGTTCTTTTGCAAAAATGTCGCTGTCCTTCTGGGAAGATGGAAGAAGCTTCTCCTTCAGCACTTAGCTGCTATTCCTACCCCAGGAGGGAGGCTACTTGATGACAGCCCACCTGAGGCAAGGCAGGGATGGAATGACACAGGCAGAAGCGCACTGCACAAGCACTCTTTTTATTGCAAATGGGTCGGTCACACAGATACAGGAATTGTACAAAACCCTCATGAAGCAAGTTTGCCAGCTCGACTCCAATAGTTCAGAATAGTGCACTGGATTATAAACAAGGATTACACATTTGGCAAAAGCTTCAAATGCCTGTAAGAGGGTAAGAGAATCCTGTAGAGCCTTTTGCCACCTTCCCTCAAACACTATTACAGGACACCGGAAGGTAAAGTCACAGCTCCTTTGCTAGGACTCCAACAAGCCAAGTGTCCATGCCTTAGATAAGCTAACTCGCCATCAGGGGAGCTGGTACTTGGCAGACAGTGAAGACTCACACTAGCCGTGCTCACCTACAGCTCTATGTTTTGTATACCCAACTCTCAGAGTTACTGCGATCTCTGGCTTGTTTTCTGGGCAGCGGCTCTCCATGCATTTTTAACAAAAATACATTTTGGTACCACTTTTCAGATTTTTTAAAACCTGTGCTTCCTATGCTTAGCTTGCAAGCCAAAGAGTCAGAGGCAGAAGGCATAAAATGTCATCCTATATACACGCATACTGTAGGCTATGTCACCATCAGTAAAATCCAGGAGGGTTCTTGACTGCCACCACTCAGCTTACAAAAATAGGGGTCTATTGTAGGTCACCGTATTTTATCCTATAATTCACAGTATGAAAACCACTTGAATTCCACCTTATCCGGAAAAAAGCAGTGGAGGAAGGGGTTATCTTTAAAAACAAAACAAAACAAAAACAAAACATGATTTTCTAAGAATTACAAACAGGTTTCAATACAAACAAGTTCTGCTTTGGCTCTCCCTCCCCCTACTCTTTATAAAAATCCCACTCAATATGCAGCCACCATCAGTATTAAAAAATGTATGAGAGAGCTGGTCAGTGCCCTGAAATGGTACAGAAGCACAAGGTAGCCTAGTTCCACCACCTCAGGAGGACAATCCCCGGTAAGCCATGGACTATTTAGTACTTTAACTGCAGTGTAGGACAGACAACACGTGAAAAACAAGTGTGTCCTTGTGAAACGAGCATTTAGCTTCCAGGAAAAAGGCTGCTGCATCTTGAAAAAAATTAGGGTCTAGGAACATGGCATACTGAAGACTACAATACTCTTTGCAAGAACATATGACTGGGCCTAGTTCCACCTTGCTAATCTTCTGGCTTTTTGCCCCTAGTACTCCAGTACTTGCTATATGCTTCCTGGAACATATGTTTGCAGGAGATTTTAGCCTTTAGTTTGGCACAGATGAGGAAGGAGCCCCCCATCTTCCGGTGGAGAGAGTAGGTCTCCTCGGGCGGAGGGATAAGCCGATGCTTCAGCATGACTGGAATTAAGGTATGGATCTTTTCCGTGGTACTCTGACTGCCGAAATCAAATGGTTCCTCAGCTGCAAAAGCCTCTCCCAGGATAAGGATAGCATTTAAGTGGGCATCTTCCATTTCCTGCCCAAAAGGAAAGAGGCATCAGTAACACACGAGGCTGGCTCTTGGCAGCTGCTTTTAATACAGGGGTTGGGAAAGAAAAAGACGTGCTGCCAAGGGCTAGCCTGACTAGGAAACAGACAACACCCGCTTTCCAGTGTGCAGAGACTAGACAATACTCTAGGTCAATTCAGCTTTCAGGAGATCAGCCTCAAGTGAGACCCTCGGCCCATTTGGTCCCAAGATCTTGAGGATGGAATGGACATGGCTGGAAGAACAGGAGCTGTTTCTCCAGGTAGAAGGAAGAGTACTCTGGCTTGTCAGAGGGCATGGGTAAGCTGTCTCCAAGTAAAAGGGCAGATTCTTTCAGTCTCTAGAAAAGGGCCCAAAATTTTGCTCCTGAAGCTGTGTGTATGGTTTCCCTTCCACCCAGAACTGCAGAGGTGTGAAATATGTTTCAGCAAAGAGAAGGGAAAGATCTGGATTACACCTTTCTCAGCTGGCTCCATCACCATGGCTCTTGCTTGCCCTGTTCCTAGCTCACCTTGGGGAAGGGCTGACTGAACTATTTTGCAGAAATCCTCCTTTCTGCCCCCACTACCACAGTGCCCATGAGAGCTGCCCTTTTGGACTGTCACCAGCTTTCTCCCATCACCGGCTCTGCAGTAAACCAGACCCAAGTTCTCTGCAAAGAGCTTCACAACCAGCCAGTAACAAGCAGGGAAGATGCTACTCCATACCTTGACTTCATAGCCAGTAAGGAATTTCATCTCTATCGACTTCCTCAAAACTCTCTCTCTGTCCAAGTCTGCAGCCGCCTTGATTATCTGGATGGGAAGAACACCATCAGCCAACACATCCCTATGTTACTAAGCAACAACAACAACATTCTTGGGGTCAAGCAACCCCATTACATGCCCGTTTCTTCACCCTTTCCTAGTGCAGCACAAGCTGGGAAGATGATCAGCTCAAGAGCTGTTAGAAATACATCCACCACAAGGGCTTTTCCCCAGCAACACAACCCAAAACAGGAAGCTGCAGTGACATCAAAGGGTGGGATAGGGACAACTGCCCTTCTGTCTGGGAAACTGCAGAGCCAAGCCTTACTCCGGAGAGCGAGAACTTGATGCCCTGACAAAGGAACAGGCAAAGCTGACAAGGGACAAGGCCTTTACAACATCAGCTTTGTCGAGCGATTTGTAGGCAAACGGAAGTTACAGGAGAGGTGAATAGTATTGAACACACCAGGTCTGCATACCTCTTCCATTTGCTCACATCTGTACATATGCATGCATACACACACACCACCCCTCCCTTCTTGCTACTGGAGTTCCCAGAGGACAGGCCAATACTGTGGCTTTTCAAATAAGCACTGCTGCCCACAGCTCAGAGTGCAAAACTTTGAATCGACTGCAGCTAGGCTTACGCGAGTTAGACATTTACTTAAAAGAGAACAAAACTACACAGGAGCAATCATGTTCAAGGCTTATGTAAGGCAAACTGCAGTTCAGCCAGGACAGGTTCAAACCACAGGTCAGCAGTTGCCACCTGTGGGGCTCTCTGCTGGGCCCTGAATGACAGGCTCCAAGAGTGCTGGGAGCAGGAACTACCTGGGAATGGATTTACCCACCAGAAGATATGGGGAGCCTAGTTCTGCTCTCAGAGCCACCCAAAAACAGCAGAGCTAGGGCAGGCTCAACCCCCGAGACAGCAGCAGCCCAGGTCTCTACACTGAGCAGATGTGGGCTAACGGCAAATAGAGAAGTGCGGTGGGTCAGCTCGGGCAAGGGGCAAAGCAGTGACACGTATCTTCTTCCCCACGCCCCAAGCCTTGTTCCCAGCTCTGGCCAAGCAGCAAATCCAGCTACGCACAGACATGCAAGATCTCCAGACCAGAGTGAGCTGAGAACGAATGCACGCTGACCCCCCTCCCCCCGTGCACAGCAGCAGCTTGAGCCCTCACCTCGATGTAGAGGTCGGTGAACTTCTCGTCAAAGCCTCGAGTTGCTCCGAAGTCCAGCAGGGCCACCTGGATGTGAACAAACACTTCTGCATTATAGTGACCACCAATCAGAAAGGAGGCAGCTTGGTCAGGGAGGGCTCTGAAGGGGGTGGCATGAAGTTCACAGGGCACAAGGGCTTCCTGGGGGGCCCAGGTCTGGGCAAATTAGTTGACTCCCTCCTGTCACTGGTCCTCACTGCCAGTGTCCAGCCCAGACAGAGTCTATTGCAGAGCAGATCAGAGCCTTCCTCATGCAGGTGGGCAGGCAGGTGGGCAGGCAGAGGTGACACAGCCTCCCATTGCCCACTGGGACCTGCTGGGCCAGGGGCTCCTGTAGGCTCGCACCCTGCGTCACAGCGCATCAGTGGACAGCCTCGCCCCAGCACCAACCCCACGCACAACTCGGACAGCCCTGCACAGCCCATAGCTCTGGAACGTCTTCCGAGTCTGATATAAAGGGCACACATATGTAGGAGCCCCAACCAGTGACAGACAGGAAGAATTGCAGGCCACTGGAGACCACGTCACCAGGCATCAGTATTTTTAGCCCAACCCAAGGGCAAGGGAGAGGTGGGGAAGACTGGAATGATGTGCCAGTGGCTCAGCAAGCCCTGACTGCTCCCATGTCAGAACATACAGGGCTGCACCTTTTCAGCAAAGGGCGGGGGAGAGGAACAATTCCCATTCTTCCCCCAGGATGAGCTGCACTGCAGCAATGCTAGCCAGGGGTAATCCCCACTCTCAACCCTTTTAAAAAGAAGTGAAAGGAAGGGGCTCTTTGCAGCCTTCCCCAAGCACACCTCCTTGCTTCTAACAAAGCAGGAGGGCATTGTGGAAGCTGGTACTCTGTGCTGAGACGGCCCCTCGGGGTGTCAGCCAAACAGCTGGTGTGCTGACACCTCCACATGCTGCAAGAGGCCCTTTCATTCTCAGGAGAAGCAGGTCAGTGGGATCTGGACACACAAGATCATCTCGCTCCCTCCCACTGGGAAACCCTAAAGCTCTAGCATAAGCCATCCTGCAACTGAGGAATATGGCATACAATACACCCCAATGCCAGTGTCTGCAAATGAATCACGCTTCCTTTGGACAACAACTGACTCTTGTACCACAGCCCCTGTTTATCTCTGGTCTTACAGGGAGTAATAGCTAGAAAAGGTTGAACAGGAGACTAAGTAACTGGGAGTGGGGCACAGCGCCACTAGCTGATAAACATCTCTCACAGGATATGCATCTGCTGGGGCTTACCTTGTGCAGCTCCGGGTCATAGAAGAAGTTAGACCAGTTTGGGTCAGTCTGCATATACCTGAACTCAAACAGCTCCCGCAGGCACAGAACCAGGATGTTGGAGCAGATCTTCAAAGATGCAATGAGAGAGAGAAACACAGACAATGAATGAGGGCAGCAGCAACTCACGACCAAAGTGTCAGAGGCACCACCCACCCCCAACTCTGCAGTGAAGGAAACAAACATCAGCAGGGTGGCAGGGGACAGATGGCATCCCTGTCCTCTACTGGATGCTGAGATTCATCTGCTCAGTTCAAAGGTATCCTTCTCCAGTCCTTCCACATAAACACCCCCAACCCCAACTCCAAGCCACGAGTGGGAATTATGAACTGGGAGCTGCTGCAGATCCATATATGTTCCTCAATTTAACCCTCCCTCCTTCTGTGATGAGGGCTTCAGAGGGTATAAGGGTTGACACCACAAGATGATCCTCCAGTGTCACACACTGGGCTTGGAGAGCAAAAGCAGCACACACACATGGATCCTTGAGAACAGGGGTGGCCAACCATCAGCATGTATGCCACAAGTGGCATGGGAAGCCTCTGTGTAGCACAGAGCAGACTAAGGGGAGCAGGGAACAGAAAGCAGAGCAACAGATTGGGCATGGAACAGAAAGCAGAGCAGCAAATAAGGCAGGGTAAGAGGATTGGAGTGGCACTCAGGGAAAGTGCAGGGCCTACACCCTCCCAAAAGGCTGGTCCCCGCTGCCTTAAGAAGTAAGGCTTCAAAGCAGGACTGTCCAACTAAGCAGTCAGAGGCCACATGCCATGCAGGTGCCCTGGCCCCACCCCCAGTTCCTCAGTTTTCCGGCTCCATGAAGACACACAGATGCTGCCAGCACTGCAGGCTGGGCTGCACCACAAGGTGCTGCCCTGCCCTCTGAGGTAGGGGCAGGAAGTAGAAGCTAGGAGAGGGATGGGGAGCCCAGAGCTCCCAGCTGCTGGCCCCCAGTGATGGAGGGAGTTATGGAAAATATGATGCGAGCGCCTTTGCCCATGGCAGCTATTCCCAATCCCAGAAGCCCTGCAGAAGGCACAGAAAGAGGACCTCATCTTTTTTGTGAGTCAGGAACCCTTGCTGGAGTCAGGAAGCCAGCTGTCAGAGGGGCAGAACTCAGCAACCAGCTGCAGGGCACTAACCATCTTCCCTATACAATCCCCAAATAGCAGCTGAGCTCAAATATGTTCCAACTCTTGCCAAGGGCACAGTACATGCTGTGTCTGTACTAGCCCCTCCTTGCTAATTAGAGGGGTGTCTGCTACCCAAGGACTGCAAGACAGCAGCCTCCAGGGTGGCAAAAGGCCTGAGAAAAGTCACCACCTCATATAGGATTGAAAGAGACTCTGTCTGACTGTCTATCTGGGTTAGGATGCAAATCCTTCAAAACGGGCAGCAAGTCTCTGCCTGGTGCTGAGAGCACCTCAGAGCAAGGACTGCTCCTCACAGAGCAGAGAGATCCAGCAGGACACAGCCTGGATACAGGCCCTGCAGAACTCAGGAGGGATGAACTTGGAAAGGACTGTAGAAACGTAACAGGGAACCAGAGCTGCTATCCTTAAGAGCCTTGGCAGGTCAGGGCAAAGGAGCCCTTTCCTGGAGGCTTTCCAAACCACCTGCAAGACTAGGATTCTGCAAGGCAGTTTCCTTTGCAATGGCTCAAAAAAGCCCTATAGAAAGGCCCCTGCTGTACATTATGTTAGGGCTTTTCTATAAAGACCATTTTATGACAGCCAATTTGCCAGAGAACCATTGCCAGTTACAACAGGCCAAAGACTATCAGCTTCCACCCAGCTCCTCTCCAGGGCCAGACTAGCCATCTAATGGGGAAAATGCAACAGCACTGGATATGAGCCAAAACCCCAATGCAGGAGTCATGCCTGGACCAGAAGGCTGTGGGTTAATGTCACTAATGCAGCCCTTTGAGCACTGGGCAGAGCAAGAGACAGATCTTACATCATCTCTCTTTTCAGAACGAGAGCCTCATCCCTGTTCTGGGAGAACATCACGTCAGGAGGGCTATTAAAACCAGATCCCGTCACCTAACACTGGAGCAGTTGCAGTCCTGAAGAACGAGCCCAGAGAGTGAGCAAACAGCCCAAAGGGCACAGGCAAGTGGACTGGCATGGCTCCAGGTACAGTGTGTTGCTGGAATCTGTTTATCTATCGGACATACCATGTACTCTTCCTCAATGACTCGGCAACAGCTGACAGCTCGCACCAGACCATAAAATATAACAGAATCCACATACCAGAGCAGTTTTTTCTGCTTGCGGAGGAGCCTGCCCCCACCTTAACTCCCCCATCCCTTGCTATATTCAGCACCAGTGTCTTGTCTCCCCTCTGCCTCTTGTTTACTCATCAGTACTTTTCCAAGCCCCTTTGACTACACTGACCAGGCCAAGGGGAGCTATATTTGACTGTGCGCATAATTGGACAAGGTGCATTTCTTTGCTCTCACCCCAGAAGAGCAGCTGCAAGAGACCTCTCACCAAGCTGGCAGCCTGTCCCAAGGTCAGGTTCACCCCTTGAAAGGGGCAGAGGAGCAACACAGCACACTGCTTCAGACTGTACAGAGACATGTGTCGGGAAACCAGTGTGCAAGACCTAGGGGCCCAGGACACTTGCTGACACCCCCTTCTTCCAGCAGTGCTCCAGTGGCACTTACCTGCCACAGCCAAAAGGAAATTACCAGTCTCTCTGAAACCACGGGCAAATTGACAAGGCCAAAGTTCACCACCTGATCGCAGAAATCCCAGAACCAACTCTTTCAAGAGGCCAGGGAAAGGCACTGGTTTGCTACATCCTACCAATTCTTTTTGCACTCTCCCAACTCTGTAGCTCCCCAGTCCGTCTTCCTAACAAAGGTCTCTCCAAGAAAGCAACAGGCAACCAAAAGCAGCTCTGCAGTGTGCACTGGGGAGAAGCAAGGCAGACCCAAGCATGGTAGCCACCCTGGGACAATACCTCATTCCGGATCTCTTGGCTTAGTTCTTCTGCTTGATCAAGAGGGAATCCAGACACAAGCTCCGTGGTCAAGACATGCTGGCTGCACAGCTCATCCACCACAGCAGGCACATAAAACAGTGGGTGATCCTTCAGCAGCTCCCTGCCAGCATCAAGGAAAAGGTCAGGACATCCTTTCATAGTCCCTTGAATACAGTCTGTTCAGAGAGACCAGCTGCCTGCAAGATACCCTAGTGCTAGGACAGCACTGCCAGGCCTGGGCTCTGCTGTCAACATCTGGGCCACTGGCTCCGGCAGACTGGCAGAGGGAGAAGGGAATCTCTACCACCAATCAACATAAGCCAGCCCAGCTGGTTGCAGCCATTGATGGCTGTAAAGGGAGAAGCAGCAGCTCTGGGCAGAGACAAAGGGAGGCATCAGAGGGAGGATGCCTCTTCCAATTCACTCTCCATGCCCCAAACCAAGCAGCCAAGCTGCATGCAGGCACATAGGTTGCAAGGAAGCACGGATAGAAGGGTTAAGCGAACATAAGTAGACCATATTCTTGCTGTCAATCCCCCACACAGGAGCTGGGAAAGTTAACGGCTTCCCCAAACAGGAGTTTCTCCCAAAAAACCAGCAGTCACATAGCAACCCCCAAAGAAGAATCCCACCTGCCCTTGGCAGCTGCTGCAGGACCCTCCCCAGAGGAAGGGGTCATGCCCTGCAAACAGAGGAAGGACCATTGACCAGGCCTTGGAAGTAATGAGAGCAGCAGCTGTTTTGTCCTACTCCTAAGCAAGATGCTACTGAGCATCCTCACTGCCCTGGGATGGGGGTGGGAAGGTGTTTCCATCTTGCAGAGCCTAGTTCTGAGAGGAAAGATCTGTCTTGAAGACACCTCAGAACATTTAACATGCTGCAGGGGTGCGAGGGACTCCTTCCACCCCCGTCACAGCAGCTTGGCAGTTACACCCAAGAGATCAGAGCACACCCCCTATCAGCAGAAGCTGGAGAACAGGCCCCTCCCACACCAAGGTGGGGAAGGACACCAGTGCACACCCACCTGAATCTCTTTGCACACGCAGCTTCTCTTTTGTAATCACACTCCAGGGCCAGTTCCCTGCTCAGTACTTCAATCAAATGCTCGGGGAAGAGACCTAGAAGAAGGGTTGCAGAAGTTAAGAGTCCTCAGTTGGGAAATGCTTTACTGTTATACACGAAGCAGGACATGGCCGAGAAGAAAAGCACTTGCAAGGCCAAAAGCTGGGAACACCCAGATCTGAGCCAACAGGAGTTCTGTGGTTAATCAAGTGGCCAAGTTTGATGTTCTCCTGCCTCAGTATCTGAACAGAAATGTCACAGTGCTCACCAGGCCAGCAAGGGCTAGGACTGCAGTACAGACCATGTAGGCAGGGCCCCACCCAGCCACCAGGGAGAGGGAGCTGCTAGTTACTGAGCAGAAGCCTGTCCAAATGCAGCTAGTCAAGGGTGAATACCCACCCCCACTGCCCCCCAACCCCCACCCCTCTAGATTTCTCAAGTGCTGCTGTACAGGGTTTCTGTGGAAGGGAAGAAGAGGGAATGTTTTCATCCTTCTCAGGGGTCCTACATCTGTTCTGGGACAGAGAGAAGAGTCTGGGCCTGGCTGCTTTCTTCCCTCCCATCTCAATTCTATTGCTAAAGAGAGAGGTGATATGAGCACAGAAGCCTGAAGGGCAGAGAGGAAAGAATGGCTTTGGCCAGTCACTGGGATTCATGTTGGCAAGTAAAAGGGAATCAGGAAACACGCTCTGGGAGCCACTGTTCATTCTGAGAGCACTTAGGTCCAGGAAAGTATCAACAGAGAGACCTCCCAGGCACCACTCAAGCCCGTCAAGAGTCCCAGGAAGCCTTGTCTGTACAGATGGGCAGAGATGGAATGCTGCTGTACGCTGTCCAAAGAATGCACCACCTTCCACTACAGACACACATGCAGGCTCAGGGATGTTTTCTATGGGGGCACCTCCCACAGGGCCCAGTAGCAGCCACACAAGCATTTGATGAATGAAGGGTTAAATGCTAAGTGCGCACACAGCACACACCAGGCACTCAATGCTGCACCTAGGCAAGTTCAACAGGGGAAGAGTGGCTTGGGCTGATCCTGGAGTGTTTAGCCTCTGCTGCACACAGGACTCTTGTACAGCTGTCAGCATTTCTGCACTGTGCCCAAGAGCAGCATCTGGGAGGAGGATTCCTCTTAACCCAGCTCAGCCATTTCTTTGGATGAAAAAGAATCTAGCCAATCTAGTTTGAAGGTAAATGCTGGTATGTGCCACAGCATTACAGGACCCCGCAGATTGTTTCTCCCCTTAAAGCCTTCCCCGGTGTTCCAGTTACTTTACCATCAGGAAGAATGTTGCTCATGCTCAGGACAGTCATCAGGTTGTTAACATCACTATAGATGCTTTGGGCCACCCCAGGATACTGCAGGTGAGGAAGGGGAAAAAAAAATAAGTGGTGAAACCATGCTAAACCCCAGTCACCCTCAAAGATTCTCCTTCAGGACCAGGCTGGTCATTTACAGGACCACCTATGCTGAATGCCCCAACAGCAAGCAGAGCCACCTATGGGCTCAAAGGAAAGGAGGATAGATTGTGAAGTCCATAAGGCTTTTGCAGATAATACTTCCATGGCAAAATCCATGTTGTAAAAAAAATCCAAGATCCCGTTGTAGTATGCAGCAGAGATGTCCAAACTTAACACCCCAGCAAATGAAACAGCCATTTACCATTTTCCAAAACAGGGATTTCTTCCCCTCCCCAAATATCCCAAGAGAAGAAAAATAAAAATTCCAAAGGATCACTTCTCATCACTACTCTACTATGACAACACAGCAGTGGCCCCAGGGGACCCAAGCCAACAAACAGGCACACAGCAGTAGCAGTGACAAAGCAAACTCTCTGCCCTGTAGACTGAGGTATCACAGCCCTAACTGGGCAAAAGTTTGGATCACTCTCCTCACCTGTTCAATCCTTCACTTATTTGCACAGGCTGCCAAAGAAGGCAGCCAATAATGTGCTCGTTTTTGCAATGCAAACACCTGTCAAGTGAGAGGTAAACTGACACCATGGTGGTAACTTTCCATCATTATTAACTCGGCATGAATCCAAACGGGTATCGCAGAGTTGCGAAGCTCTAGGACGTGTTGACAGCAACAAGCCACACAGTGCCCACAAAGGTGTCTCCCACTTCCCAAAAGGGTCCAAATACCTAGTAAACAACTCAGGCACGGATTCAGATCAGTTAGTTAAGATCTCTATAAGCAGGGCACTGAGCTTACCTGGATCTTCATGGCAACTTCTTTGCCATTCTTCAAGCGAGCCAGGTGAACCTGGCCAATGGAAGCAGCAGCAAAGGGGCGTTCTTCAAAAAACTCCAGCTTATCCCTCCAGTTGGGACCAAGGTCACTGTTCAGCGTTTTCTGGAAAAAGACCGTATCAGGATAAGGAAAGCTGGGATTTGAGCCACATTTTACTCTCCCCCACTCCCCTCCGTTTTTAAAAGGAATGCAGTTTTGGGCCTTGCACACAGACTTGGCTCATTATCTCACCCTGTAAAGGTAGGTTTAAAGACTGAAAAACTTTTAAAAGCTAGATTATGTTTTCTACTTTCACACACTAGGGCACCTAGACAAGGGCACCTAGGGTCATATCTGAAAATGGGGCGTGGGTGCTTTTTGAAATGCCCCCTCCCCGTCCCATCCTCAGGTTGTGTGTTGTTTTTAGGAAAGACTGGAAAAAAGGAGCAAAGAGTACAATGGACAAGCCTGTGGGATAGTGTCAGTATGCAGCACCCGCTTAAACCAGCCAAGCTTGGAGGTGGGTGGGGTTATCCCTGATGTAAGGAACATGCTCCCCCTTCAAGTGGGGCTGAATTTCCTGTGGGCGAGAGGAATCAAACACTGCCAAGTGGCCCTACTACATGAGCTGCTGTCTGACTGTATGTTCTAGATATGCCAGCCTCTGCTTCTACCCAGGGGCAAGTCCCAGAGCATTTACTTCACTCCCACTCCCTAGCCTCCCAACAAGCAGGGAGGAATACTCCTTACCATCATTTGCTTTATCGGCATGAAGTCTGCACTCTGACGTACACGCTCAAAAATCCTCTGCAGGTGAGGATTGATGAAGGCATCGTCTGCCAGGAGGAAAGTTACAAGTCAGTCAGAAAAGGAGACCTGGGGAGTTGCCCTCCATCACGCTTCCATCTGCTAATCCACAGGCAGCTCAGTCCGTTCCCTCAACCCCCAGATCCCTCCTTGGAAAGACAAGCCAGATTCAAAATGCTTGTTGTTTGATTTTTTTTTAAACAGCATTATGCTCAAAAATTCTTTCCACCCAAAAACACCTCAGACTCCCTGATCCTCAACTTTTTATTTGGGAAACAGTGACCGGTAGAGGATCATTCTGCACAAACACTGGGGTAAAGAAAGTGACAGAGGCAAAAAGTCAAAAGTAGGTGGCACCACAGAGCTCATATTCCATCTCCCAACCCTCTAAGGCAGAGCTTTCCAAACTTTTCATGTTGGTGACACACTTTTTAGACATGCATCATTTCGCGACACAGTAATTCAGTTCCGGGGGAGGGGCCAAGGGAAGCAGACACGAGTAAGGGAGCTCTGCGGTGCCCTTCCGCAAAATTTTCTGCATTTTGCGTGACACACCTACACACTGCCACCGACACACTAATGTGTCGCGGCACACAGTTTGGAAAGCTCTGCTCTAAGGCATGGTGACCAGGGCTGTGCTGCAGTCACACACACTTCACTTCTGTGCATCTCTCTTCCTCCTCAGCAGTAGAAGACTAAAGCATAAACACTAGCAAAAACAAAAGCTCTTGGCACGTGCTAGTAATAGTTTCCCAATATTTGAGTGCTTTGGTCATTTAAATGCTGAGGACATACCTACATGTTCTACATTGGTATGCCAAGCCTTCTGTGATAAGGGGGCTGGGAGGAGTTACTTGCAGGGCTACACTTCCCCAAGTTTTCTGTGATAACAGAACCATAAATCTACCACACTGGAATAATCTTCAAAACAGCATACATAGCATAGTACAGACATGCATTTGTCCCCTGCATTGCCAGAATGGCTGTCTCAGCAGCCATTCTAAGAACCAGGTATACCACAGGACTGTGGGGCATATATATTTGCACCAGTGTCTTTGGCAGCAAGATTATCATAATGCAATAATCCCCCCAAACGAAAATAAAAATTGGTGGGAGGACAGGGTGAAGCACTGGGAGGAGAGGAGGCGGCAGGAGGGGCAGGGTTGCACTATTAAAGTATCTGAAGGCACAAAGGTATTGAATGCATGAACAAAATTACCCAGCAAGTGTTCAGATCTTGGGCCAGAATTTAGTCACATTAGAAGGCAGAAAGACAGGCAGGGAGAAGAAACAAGTCTAGAGTGTATTTCTGCTCCTCAGATCCAGACATCATCAGCTGTCCCTCCTTATCTCCCTCCTGCCCCACCTAACCCCCTTGCCAGAATCACCCCAGCAATATGATTCCTTTCATCATTCCATAGCATGTGTGGCCAGAAGGGACCGCTAGATCATCTCACCTGAATTCCTGTGTTATGCACGCTATTACATTCCACCAAAATACCTCACAGACCCAGAGGCCCCACTGTATACAGGTATACGCCATCTTATGAGTTCTAGCTGCTTGGAGTTTCCCTAAAAGTTTGCATGCCACTAAAGATTAAAACCCACCCAAGCCCCAAATGCTGGCTAACAAAAGAGAAATGGAGACTTGCTTTCAACATTATATATCTGTCAATGACTGACAAGAACCCCAGAGGTGTTTGAGAGAGAAGCAATAACCCTCAATCCCTCTGTAGTTTCCACAGATTAAGCCTTGCCCAAGAACTACACCCACCACATACTGTAACAAAATAACACACATCTCCTGGTATGTCAATGCAGAAAGAGGACAGTGGGTTACTGTATAATTCACAAAGCATCTAAGAGCGAGTATCCCTGCAGAGACCTGAGTTTGCCTTTGACATCATCGTGTTCAATGTCCAAGTAATTCACAACTTTAATTTTCAATATAAATTTATATGAGGGTACATGTTCCAGTCAGAGCTGTTAACAGGAGCTGCCTTGCCGGGAAGAGTAGCCTGAGGCTCTGTAATGCCAACAAAAATGGAAGCTCAGATTCGGCTGTCCAGGGACAGCAAGGCAGCAGTTATATCAGCAATACTGCAGGGGGAACAAGCATCAGAACATGCTCAACAAGAAATCATTAAGTGATGAACATACTGAAAATAAGTGGCACTGAGAACTGTGAAGTCTTGCAGCACAGGCTGGAAGCCAACTCACTGCTGGTAGAAGTGGCTATATTCCCAGCTTCAGAGGAACAGTGCCTAAGTGTGCAAGTGGTAAATGTGGCCCTACAGGGCTAGGGAATTACACAGGCACAAGACCTGACTTGCAGAGGAGCAGGGAACTTGGTCATTTGTGTTGATTTCTAAAAGTCAATCCCAAGGGTTCTAGAGACATGGTGCATGCCAGGACAGGCTGAAAATGTTGTTTGGGAGGGGCAGGGAGAAGGAAAATCCAATTCTTGGGGGGGGCGCGGCAGGGTGGGTGAGAGAGAGAGAGAGTCAGAGTCAGTCTGCTCACCAGCCATTACACATGGCTGCTACCAGTAAAAGCCAACATCATCTTGCCAGAGTACAGATGTGCCAGGAATAGCACTAACCTCCCTGTCTCAGCAGCCATTCTAAGAACCAGGTATACCACAGGACTGTGGGGCATATATATTTGCACCAGTGTCTTTGGCAGCAAGATTATCATAATGCAATAATCCCCCCAAACGAAAATAAAAATTGGTGGGAGGGCAGGGTGAAGCACTGGGAGGAGAGGAGGCAGCAGGAGGGGCAGGGTTGCACTATTAAAGTATCTGAAGGCACAAAGGTATTGAATGCATGAACAAAATTACCCAGCAAGTGTTCAGATCTTGGGCCAGAATTTAGTCACATTAGAAGGCAGAAAGACAGGCAGGGAGAAGAAACAAATCTAGAGTGCATTTCTGCTCCTCAGATCCAGACATCATCAGCTGTCCCTCCCTATCTCCCTCCTGCCCCACCTAACCCCCTTGTCCCCGCAGGCTCAGAGTGCTCAGGGAACAGTGACTAAGCACTTGACAGCTGTAATTCTTTTCAGTGTCTGGGGTATTTTAAGTGCATCCCCCTCATGCAAACCAGCCTCAGAACTATGCCCTAAATCAAGGTTCACACAAACTCTGGACATGTGGATCACTAGCCACAAAGGGAGCCAGTGAGAGTTCCTTCCTGAAGCTGCACTAGAATGGAGATGGGGGAAGTTTATACCCTCGCCCTACTGCATCTCTCCCCACAGCTGCCTTTACTGGGCAGCAGACCACAAGGGCAGGGCTTTGGGGTGGGGTTCCAGACACGGAGGCAACAGCAAGCAGAGGGCAACCTGTAAGCTGCACCAGGTGCTGCAGCGAGCAGCCTGAAATAAGCCACTGCCAAGGGGATTCTGCAGAACACTGTCTGGGGTCCCCTGCTCTCCAGCTGCTGCTGCTTAGGCTCTTTTGAGAGTAAAAGCTAAACACTGCCCAGCATTTCTGGAAGGAAAAACCCCAGATGGAACCACTACCACTTGACCTGGCTTCATTAATGAGGTCCGAGGCAGCACTGGGAAAAACTTGCTGAAATATTAGCACCAGAGCATCCCTGCACCCTGTCACTGCAGATAACCTAATTTCTCCCAAACTACTACCCTCTAATACAGTGGGGGCTAACCTTTTTTGGCATGCATGCCACAAATTAGCCCTGAGCCCTGCCTGAGTGCTGCTCTAATCCCATTACCCTGCCCCATCTGTCGCTCTGCTTTCTGCTCCCTACCCTATCTGCCACTGTGATGCCCACCCCACCACAATGTGTCACATGCCACAAGAGGCCACACCCGTGACACAGGTTAGCCACCCCTGCTCTAATACTTGCTCTTCCTACAAGCAGGTCAGCTGTTCAATACAAATACAAGGTTCAGCTCAGCCCTTTGGACTCGCATGTGCCTGAACCAAGCAACCACATCACCCCTCACTGTTGCAGTTCTGTAGATTTGGAGCTTTCTGGGGAGGGTACCTTGTCTTGCTAGGTCTAGATGGTCTGTCATATCAAGCATGTTCTCAGGAACCATCCTCCAAGTCAGCACCTACAAGAGCCAAGCTGGAACACAAGCCTGACCAGTGGCGCAGATCCACTGCAAATGACTGCAAATGCTGAAGTGTGTTTACTCCATTCCATCTACATCCCAAATTTGCTTTTTGCTAGCTGACTTTCAGCTAACTGCTGCCTTCCCACTGAGGAGGAGAAATGCAGATTCTAGAACTCTAAACTAAACCAGCTGTTTCATTAGCTTCCCACATAGTAACAAAACAGCCCAGTGCAAGGACACAGGTGCTGTTCAGTCAGCTCCTGGCTATGGTCCTTGGAGTGTGCAGGGAGTGAAAATCTGTTAAAAAATCCCATTAAAGGAGCAGAGCCCCTCTTGAAATTTCTGAAACAGAGGCCAGGGTGGCCACTTCAGCAACTGCCAGCCAACTGAACCAAAGCTGTTAAAACCAAGGCTCTGTCCAAGTAAGATCTGAAATGGCACAGAATCAGTGGTCCCCTCTCTATTTAAATGTCCTGCTTATTTGTAGTCTGAATGCATCAAGCTTTAACTTCTAGCCACTGGACCATCTACTATCAAATTTTCTCCACACAAAGGTCCCGATAGACTGATAAAAGCAAAGCTTGACCTAAACAGCCTGGTGTGAAGAAATGAAGGGTTTGCTCTGTGCCACTGCTAATCTAAACCCCATTTTAACTCTGGAGCTGAGAAACAGGTGCCGGGGGCCCCCTTACCCAGCCAGCACTGCTCTGTGTTCAAGATGGAGTGAACTCTCCTGCCAATACAATGTGCTCCCTTGTTTCCAGACCTGGAAAAAACACTTCGTAGCTCTATTAGCAATCTAGTCTAGCCAAAACTATTCCACTTCAATGTAGCCAGCATAGGTATATGGAAGAAGGGAAGTTTTTGGACCTTGTTTTTTTCCCCACAGGAGGGGAAGGATGAGGGAATAAAGAGGAATAGGACAGACCCAGAAGGTTAGGCACTGGGTACAGAGGGCAGTTAAAACAAGATCACACTTAGCCCTGTAGCAAAACAGAAGGCCATTAACAGCAAAACAGGGACTTCTCAAAACACCCCATTACCAAAATGGAGCAGGGCAGTCCTCCCAACCACACTCCACAGCTAGACTGAGGGTCACCCTTGTCATCCGCCTCCCTCATCCCAAATAGTTCACAGGCCAGTGAAACCTGAGGGTGCACTTGGGGAGGTGGCACCACCAGGCACAGGTCTTTTGTTGAGTGAGGGTTTTGAGGTGCACCTTAACTGCTCCTGTTGATCACAGGGTTGAACTAAACAAGGTCATGCTTTTCCCTTCCCCATGTTTATGACATTTAGTTCCATGGATCAGAATCATCTGCCTTGTTTCAGAAGGCATAACTAGATTTCAAACAATTACTGAGGTTTTGTTCCCTCCTTCTCTCACTTTAGATTTATAGTGTAAACGTTAGTAGGGGATGATGGCTTGGCACATAGGGAATAAGAGTGTCAGTCCTTCCTTCACCATTTTAGGACAAGGTCTGAACTGAATTCAGAAAATGTTATAATCTTTGTCCTCACACCAGAAAGCTACTCAGCTAGTTTCTCATCATTCACCTGACATCAGCAGACTGTCTGACTCCAAGCATCTTGCTGCCCCGTTAACATCTAGCACCAAGGGATGGCTCAACCTGCTCATGATGCTTCATCTTTCCAACATTCCTCACAGAGAACACAAAACCAACTGTCCCCGAAGAAAGGTCATTACCAAGAGATCAGCTAGCAAACACCACTGATCTGCTACTTACCCTGAATGCTCAACATCTGTCCTAGCTTCAGTGCAGCTCCTCGAACCTTGCACAGAGTCCTCACAATTCTTTCTGCATTGGCCTCGGACAGGAACGGGCTGGAATCCATAACGGCTTTCTTTCCTGAGGACAGTAGAGAGACCATTAAAAGCTTTGCAGATCCCAGGGACCTCACCCTACCCATCACTTCTCTCTCACAAGAACACACATCACACCACAGAGATCAGCTCTTCCCCCTGAATGATCAAGGCAAGACCATTTTCAAGACTCCTCAATGGCTCCACTGCAGCCCAGAGGCATGACAGCAGCTCATGTAGGCATACACAGCCTAGCCTTAAACAAGATAGTCTGATTACCATTAGCACCCTAGGCAGGGTGGTCTGGCCCACACAGAACCTTGACCAAAGCCTTGGCTGCTGCAACTCTATCCACAGCCAAACTAAATTAAAGCCACCTTGGGTATATATTTACACAGGCAGCAGTCACACCTTTGGACTGCGACACAGAGGCAGCACTCAGGGGTGTAGGTGAGCAAAAGCAAAGACTCGTCAGAGTCCAGTGGCCATTTCCAAGGTAGGCCTACCATATGTCTTCTCAGTGTGCTGCCAAACCACTGCTACCCTAGCCAGGAAATGCCCTTCTAGTACACCCATCCTCAGCCAAGGGCAAAAAAGCAGTGCAGCACAGCACTGGCAATCTGCAGTATATAGTAGGGACTAATGAAGAGACAGCCCTGCTGGTTTTCACAAGATGAAATCTATGCCAAGTTAGACTATAACGTTACTCCACACTATGCTGACTGTGCCACCTATCTCCCTTTATGCCCTCTGATACAGGGGCTGAACAGTTTCACTTTCTACCCTATTCTCCCAAGCATCATCTGCAAGGAATAAAAAAAAATACATGGATCTAGCAGCTTTACCAACATCCCAGCTATGACAAATGCCTTCAGTTCCAGCTTGGCAAGCTTTGTCAGGATAATGCTACTGAGGTAACATCCTTCAGTTATTTTTATCACAGAGGATCCCTTAAGCCAGGTTTCTAGCTTTCAAAGTATTTCTGACTATACAGGGTATTTCAGAGACACCAAATTTCTCCCCTAACCCAAACTCCTTTTTACTTTAAAATACCCTCAAAATACCCGAGCCCATCTGGTCCACTCTACAGCACGCATTACTGTGCTGTATTAGAACTTCATCCCCAAGGTGTGCATGGGCCCCAGAAAGATGGAGACATGGCATGGCATGATGTACTCCAGCTGTTACAACTGCCTCGCCCTTCCTTACTTAATAGGCTTCTCTCTGCAGTGGAAAAGACCCAGTGGGCTACCTCAGCTTTAATTCCTCCCAGTTTTCTGTTCTTTGACAATAAGATGGTTAAGGTCTTATTAATCTGGCAAAATACAAAACCCAGCCCTGTATGAACAACAGGCCAGCCCTACCTAGCCTTTCTGACAAGTAATTCTGCAAATTTGCGGACATCTGAAACGAGGCCCAATGTCAACAGATTCAGCTCCTGACAGAGCATACAAAACCTGACAGACTGCCTTACTAATTCCCTAGTCACCTGCACTTGTGAGCAGGCCTCAGAGGAGAAACACTTTCTCTTTAAGGAGGACACTCTAAAATGGTGGGGAAATACTGGCTCAAGCCTAAGTCTTCCACTACTTTTAGTTGGACCAACCTTAGTGTCCTCTTCCAGGTCAGACGGTGCCAGCAAGGAGCAGCCCAACCTAGGAAATTGAGACCCGGGGGGGG